TATAGGATGGTCTTTTTGAATCAAGCTGGGAGATTACATGGGAGGAGCAGGGTGCAGCAAGGCAGTTTGACAGATGGAATAAGTGCAAAGTCATGGAGTTCAGTGCTTTCAAAACTTTCTACAAAGAACTTGTCAGAGGATTTCCCTGAGTCCCATCAGGAGATCAAGGTGACATAATTGGTGACCTTAAGCCTCTTGGCTACCCCTCCCTGCATCCAGGCTCAAAATCCATAAATTCACCTAAACCAGCATGGAAGGAACTKCTGGAGAATTTGTCAAATTTATTCCACTGCCTCAAAAGAGATTCAGCTCTCTGAAGTGGAGTTTGGCCAGCCTGTACTTCAGAACTGCCACGATGGAGACTCCAAGCCCATTCCAAACCATCTGTTCCGCTGCTCCACTCCTCTGGCAATCAGAGGTTAGGAAGTTTTTCCTACACTTGTTTCCCTTGCTACAGCTCAAGCTCAGCACTTCTTGGCCTCCAACCACCAGCCATGGAGAACAGTTTACTCCCTTCCCCTTCACAGCTACCTTTGACATATTCGAGGGCTGTTATTTCTCCTCTCAGCCCTCTCATCCTTAAACAACCTCATTCCCTTCAGTCTTTTTTCGATATTTTTGCTCACTTTTTGTGCTTTTCTCTGCAGTGGCTGCAGTATTTCCTATTTTTGGTGGAGGGGAGCATCCTGAATGAGGCATGGCACAGCTGAGCATGGGAGTGAGCGATTCAAACTCCTTAGAGAGAAGGAAAAAAAGGGAGATAATCTTGCACAATACCCATCTTTTGTACTTTGCTGCAGAATAAAGGGATRTTCTTTCTTCTCTCTCCTATAAAATTTCATCCCAATCAGCACTGTGCCAAACTCCACCTGGCATCTCCACCATTTGACAGCCTGTGATACCTCTGTGCTAATAGTCCTACTTCAGTCCACATCCTACATTCTCATTTAAGGAAGACATCCTTACAATGTGTTTTCAGGTGGGATATAAAAAATCTACTTCAGGAACCAAAAGAAGCCTTTCATCAAGGAGTTGTCCCTTGGAATAGGGCTGTGATCGGTAAATCAACCCTTTAACCCCTTCTTGCTCATCCCATCGGAGGGGAGTAGCTCTCCCAATGACCTTGATTAAACTACTTTTGCTTGATGTAAGAACGACCATTGATATACAAAGCCAAACCCAGATAAACCAGCCAGGAGAAAAAAAAAACCCGAAAGCACTAAAGAACTGTAAAACAGCACACTGCGAGGAGCTTTTGTTTTTGTCAGAGCTGCAGACATACATCTCAGCCAGAGAGAAAATACTCTGGCTTCATGCTACATAAATGAGCAGGCAGAGCGCACTGATCTAACGATAGGGAGCTGAGCTCTCTACGACAGCACTTATTTTTCACAATGCTTCCCTGMCAGACAGTCCACCCCCGAGCCCATCGTGCTGGGCAGCGGACAGACACAAAACACTGCTCTAAAGCCACGTCTAACACAGGAGACAAGAGACAGGCACGTCCAGAGGGAGAGGACCAGGAGACAGTGAGTCAGTACAGGACCAGCACAACATGCGCTGGTCTCAGCTCGTTGGTCACACAACTGAAGCCAAGGGTTTTGTTTAGGCATCTGGGTTTAAATTTTTTTTTTTAATGTGTATTTTAAGGAGGAGCCAGGAGGAGAATTAAAAGACAGTTCTGTGCTTTGTGGCTGCATACAAGGAGACCCTTTCATGCATGAAAGTCAGAAAGGCAAAAGGTAGGGACAGGCTTTTTAAAAGGGCCTGTAGCAACAGGACRTGGGACAATGGTTTTATACTGAAAGAGGGTAGATTCAGACCAGCTAGAAGAAGAATTTTTTTTTAAATGGGGGTGGTGAAACACTGGCACAGGTTGCCCAGAGAGGTGGTGGATGCTGTATCCCTGGAAACACACAAAGCCGGGCTGGATGGGGCTCTGAGGAACCTGGTCCAGTTGAAGATGTCCCTGCTCATTACCAGGGAGTTGGGCCAGATGAGTTTTAAGTGTCCCTTCCAACCCAARCCATTCTATGGAGGTGCAAAAAGTGTTTGTCTGAAAAAAAGCGATCAAGCAAGAGGAGGAGGGAGCTTGGTGTGCCAAGCAGAACAGAGGTGAAAAGAGGTATTTTGGTACCTCCATTACTTTTGACCTTCAATTGTTTGCTTAGCTTTTATTATCAATATTACAGTAGCAATTACAGCCAAACTGCCCAGGGTCCACATGAACCCCTGTCTGCAGTTACGAGGCTGAAAAAAGGAACATTTTGTCTCAACCTTTAAGCAGTCATTGTTTGATCATTTGAATGTCCCTCAACAGAAGAGAAACTCATGACACCAATATTCCCCAGAGCGCTGTACAAATAGGTGCCTCGATCTCCCATAAACTGAAGTGAAACAGTGCAGGTATTGCTGTAAATGCAGATTAAAGTCGCAGAGATCAGGCGTGGAGAAGAGTCCCCTTCCCCAATCACTCTGGGTGGAAGTTAGTGAGAAAATTTAGTACTTTCCTGTCTTGCCACAGATCCCCTTGAAAAATAAAAGCAAAACAAACCCAGGCATATAAAAGCACAGCACTTCAAGGACAGCGTTAGCAACACACCCATGTGCAGACACATATATTTGAAATGCACTTGTCAAAGAAAAAATAAATCTATCATCAACCCTATGTCAATACAGCCAGAGCAGGAACTTCAAACCCCATTAGCAGCATCCTGCAGGCTGAGATTTCTCCTTTGAGGTCTCAAAGCAGAATATAAACCGAAGCTATAAGGAAAGCAGCAAAGCCAGCGATTCAGCACCTTCCCTTTGAGGCTGTATAAAAGCTGGTGTAAACTGCCTTTTGTGCACAAAAACCAAAGTCCAACCATGTGGGTTTGCTGTAGATGAAGGCAGGTTTTACAGGAGGAAAGCCATCACCCTCAGGCTCCATAACAACAAGCTGCTCTGAACTACTCTCAAGGAGAATTTGACCAACACACCAATACCTTGAATGCACACCACCACTATATATATATATATATACACAGTATCAACAATAGCACATTAAAAAGCAAAGGGATGGGGCACCACCAAGCGAGACACAGCCCAAGCTAAAGGCCAACACTTTCAAATCCAGCCACCGATGCAGGAAGCTGGTGCAACTGGTGTGACTGGAAGGGAAGTCCCATTGACCACAGTGCTGGGACCGCTCTAGCACAGAGATCCCCTCGAGTGACATCTGCCGTTTCCTGCCCGGCAGAGGCTGCGTGGGATGGCCGGGCACATCTCAGCACGGCTACATTTCCTCTTGGGGGAATGAGGATGTTTTGAAAACATAGGTGGCTTGCAAAGCTCTTTGGGACATATGTGCATGAAAAGCACTCTTATGCACATCGATAATTAGCGCTAACCACTGGCGTGTCACACCCTGCATGTAGAGCATTTCGCAGATTTATTCAGCTCTTGCTGGAATGCCAGAGCACAAGCTGGATATTCAGACAGTGATGTGAATGCCCTTTCATGGGGCAAATGCTGGGGAGCTAATGATGTTTGATGAGTTAAGGCCATTGGTGACTCAGGATCAGCAATTAGTTGATTTCTGCGGGAGGWAGGTGCTTTGCTCCATTAAGCTAAAAGCATCCTCCACAGTTCAGCATGCACAAAGTCATTCTGTCCACCTTCCACAGAGCCTGCGGTGGTATTCATTAGGGTGTTGGTATTTCCCACATGAACACCCAGGTTTACCTTTGTTTCACTGTATTTTGGGGGACAAGGAGCAAAAGAATCAGATTCCCTAGCATTCCATCCCACATCCCTATGCCAAGCCGATATGCCCTCAAAGAGCATGAAGCACACAAGGAAAGGATTGCCAAGAGCAACTGAACACACATTCCGGTGCAAAGGGATGTTTTGCTACTGATATSTACATTTTGGGCATGGCTAATAACACTCTATCACCAATCAGACACACCCCTGCTCCTGCTCCAGCCTGCAATAAGGGACTAAGACATCCATCTCCCTCTCAAGGGGAGGCAGCGATGCTTCCATCAATCAATAACAGRCACTGGGGAGACACCAGCTGCACTTGTTCTGCCTGCCATTCCCAAAATGCACACAGGCAAAAGCAACAGGACGAAAGGATGATCTGGCTGGTGTCCCCTCAGGAAGCGAGAGCATCCAGMTCCCTCCCAGAGGCTGCATTCCAGTCAACTGAAGCCTGGCTGAGGCTGGTCATTGGTGTCAGGGAGTGGGACCCCTGACATCCTGGGGAGCGATGTGCCGAGTCACAGGACGGCAGCGCGTTTCTGAGCTCTAATGCTCCTGGCACATGGCAGGATTGTCAGGCGGAGGACGTAAAGAACAGTTATTTCTTTCAATGAGTGGGGAATGTGACAGAGCTGGCATTTGGACCCTCTTTTTACAACTTCTTTGAAGTGTTTGATGTCAGCCGCTAACGACACAAAGGCTATCGAAGCGCTACTGGTGCTATCTTCAAAGGGTTCGGACGTTCAATGATTAATAGGAACCGTGCGCGGGATGGGGGAGAGCGCCTTATTACGGGGATGTTGGGGGGGATCCAAGATGCGTTAGCACCTTTACTCTTGGGACCAAGGCATTCCCACACTTCCCTAAAACACAGGACTTCAAAGGCGGGGGTGTGACCGTCGCAGGTCCCGGGTGAGCCCGGCCACCGCGGGGCGCAGCCAGAACGGCCCCAGCGCCGAGTGYCCGCTTCAGCCGTGACCGTCACCGCCCACCCCACCACCCCGGGGCAGGGCACAAGCCGGGGGGCTCGGAGATGCTCCCACCCGCCTTCCCCGAGCGGCGGGAAGCCGCGAGGGTTCGTCCCCTGCCCGGACAAGGGGCACCCCCRCTCTGCCGAGGCTCCGCGGCGCCGGGAGAGGCGGCGGCAGGTGCACCCGAGCTGGCGGCGGGGGAGCGRGAATGGAGGCGGAGGAGATGGACCCCGGCTTTCCCGGGGTCGGGGTAAGGATGAGATGGGGTGGGCTGAGACTTACGTATCTCCGTAACTTCTTCTCCGGCGGTGACTTTCGGAGCCAGCCCGAGCACACCACCTCCCCGCCGCTCATCGCGGCAGCCGGGCGCCGCCGGGCGCTGCCTCCCGGCGCTCAGCGCCGGCCGCGCCGGCCCATGGAGGGCGGGCGGGGGTGGGTGGGTGAGCGGATGGATGGATGGATGGATGGGTGGGTGGGTGGAGGGAGAGAGGGAGGGAGGGAAAAAGGGAGGGAGGGATGGAAGGATGGATGGGGGGGGGCGGCGAGCGCCTCCCCCGCCGCCGCGGCCGCTCGGCTGCGAGCGGGGAAGCAGGAAACTGGCTCCTTCCCGGCTCACCACGCCTCCGCCCGCCCGGCGCCCCGCCAGCCCTGTTAAAGACACAAACCCCGCGGGGAGAGGGGCTGCCCGGCCCCCCGCCGCCCCGGAGGGGCTGCAGTTCYTCCCTGTCCCCCCCGCACTCATATGGTGCCTATAGAGAAACTTTATCTACACTGCAGGAGGTGATCTCCAACAGCGCAACGTGTCCTTAATTAAAAAGTGSAGCTCTCCCCTGCAAGGTTTCATTACCCCAGGACCCTTTCCCTCTCTTGATGGAAAAGGTTCTTCTCACCTCGGATGGGCGAGGCTGGCTTTAGCGCCGCTGTGCTCAGGGGCTTGTGCCTGAGATGAAGGTGCCATAGGAAAACAAAGAGGTTGAGCAAGAAACAGCCAAACACCAGTGATGCCAAAAACCCTCCYGGAGAAAAAAAAATAGCAATAAAAAACCCACAAGGGGAATCAATAAAAGCTTCGTATTTTATTATTGATTTGTAAGTAATGGAGCAATGCCACTGAAAAGAGGATTTGACTGCCATTGGACTCTCATGAAGACAAGCCAGGTTTTGTATTACAATGTATTATACCCTGGCTGAGATTCAGTATCAACTTTCAGATCTAGAAACATTGTACATTTCAAAGCCTGATCCTCTCCTCCCCGGCTGAGCCACTAATAAAGCGTCCCTCCACAGCCCTGCCAGTTGGRTTGTGCTCTCACCCTCCTTTCACTGCGCCCTTTAAAACAAAACTTGGGCATGGCACCCATAAAAGCTGAGTCCTCTTAGCCCACGCTCACTTGGAAAACACAACCTATTTGCTAGGGATGGATTTTTAAGTCTTGTCTGTATACAGCAGCTCTGCCCCAAACCTGCTCGGGCACATTCAGTCATCCCTGCCTCAGCTTCCCTGCCTGTCCAACCTCTGTGGGCAGGGATGGTCCCTCCTTACATGTTTGTGCCGTAGCTGGTGCAATAACAATTCCATGCTGGCTGGATGTGCTACTGTATGTCAAACGACAACTTCTTTATACAAAGCTGCTCGAGCAGGGATCTTGCATCACTTTAGAGCTGTAATTGCAACTTGCAGTGCCTCTGGGAGGTAGGAACAACACCTCTTTTCAAGATGGGGACAGCATGGTTAAGCCATATGTTGTTTATCATCTTTGTGAATGCATAAAGTAGGGGAATAACCCCTTACAGAACAAGTCAGTCATTTGTTAGGAATGTATTTTCTCAACAGCTTTGTGTTTCTGCCAGTGAAATGCAAAGGCTAAATAGGAAGATTTTTCTGTCTCTCACTACCCAAAGGAAGGGCTAGATCCTATTCCAGTGCTGGGCAATCTTTGCACAGAGTGAGGCTATGGTCGGATCAGCTTGGCCATCTCTGCCAACACAGAGTGTGAGATGGGGCTGAGAGCAGGGGAGAATGGAGAGACCAGTTCTGTGCTGGCCTCAGCCAGCATTGGCTTATCCATTGCACTGAAGCCATATCAGCTTACACTGCGTGAGAGTGAAAGTCTCACCCACAAACTCTCCTAGGTTAGAGGCACTTTGTGCATTTGTAGAGAAAACTGTAAACTGGTGATTTGCACTCGAGAGATTTCCCCAAAACACAGAGATTTCAGGGAGGCCGGTAAGCTAYTGGGGATTTAGAAGACTCAGTCAAGAACAGCTGAGCATGATTAATACACAGGTATCGTGCAAAACTATTCCATGGTGTATGTTAATGATTCACAGGTTAGGAATTCACTCATACTGACACCAATGCAAAGTGGTATCAATTTGAATACCAGTTGCAGAGAATCCTGTCTGCATTTTTATGTTAACAACTTCCACCACATGGAGTTGGAACACTTCATTTGGGTGATGGATGTTTAAAGAAATGCTCCATAATTATTATTGTGAATTGAAATTAATTATTCTACATGCTCTGTGACAGCCCTTGGTTTATTACCCTGCTCCCTTGCTGTATTAATTCCTTCTCTCCGCTCATCCCCTATTCTGGATYACATTTACTGACTTGGTTATATCACAGGATACATCTGAACAGTGCCCAAAACATTAAGTGCCCCTGTGAATTCTTCTTTCCATGCTTTTGGTGATGCCTGACACATATATCTCAGATKGCTGGGACTTTTGGATAGGAAATGGGTTGCGTTGCATTGTCTCAGATGTGACACAGAATCWTTAAAGTTGGCAAATGCCTCCAAGATCATCGAGTCCAACTGTAAGATTAGCTCTGTGCAGAAAAATGCTTTAAACAAAGATGCTGCACGTGAACGTGCCTCCCTAATTCCACTGTGGCTGTGCACAGAGTGGGAACAGTGAATTAAAATTCTGGCATCAGGCTGCCAGATTACATATGATCCAATGCATGTAACATTACAACGCCTTGACGCTGGCCCTCCTTAAAGCTTTTGGCCAGGAAGATACACAAATAATACCCTCAATGCCCCTGGGAGTTAAAGACGATGTCTGTCATGAGCACGGCTCTGATTTGGCAGCGCTTGCACGTTCGTAACAGTTTTACCAACTTCAAGCTGTTCCTCCAACCGGCAGTGGAGAATGAACTCAGGCTGGCCCCAGCTGACTGCGTAAATCTCCGGAGTGTGAGCTAACAGCCAGCAGCCTTGGCGGAAAACTGTGTGAAAACCACATCCCTGTGTTGGAAAAACCCGACGAGGGAGTTATGTGAAGCCATCGAGAATCCATCTCTGCCTGCAGAAGCAACTGAAGGAGGAACAGCAAAATTAGCAGGCATAGCAAGGGAGAAATTAAGATATGCCATGTAAGAAATAATATTCCTTGAACAAGGGTAAGGCTGAGAGAGTAACATTTTTCTAAAAAGTCCTTGTACTGTCTTTAGCGTGCCGGGATGAATGACAAACTGACACTTTGTCCTGCAGAAACCTCTGGGGTTTTTAATCTTAATCTTCAGTGCGGTTTCTTTTTCATGTCTGAAACCGAAATCTGTGAAAAATCAGAACTTCTAAGAAAGAAACCACAATGTCCACCGCTACTCCTTCCTGCTCCAAATTTATTCAAATGAGCTGTGCCATCTGCTGGCAGACGGGAAAGCTGCAGGCGGAGCAATTCTCCGCGCTCCCAGTCGCTGGTGCAAGCAGTCGGGATGGATGGAGACACAGGGCATTTCCTGAGGATTAGGGACCAGCTGGCTAAAATGCTTCGGGCTACTTACCCYAGCCAGGCACAAATCCCTCGGAAATGCCCTATACTGAGGTTAAAATACACCGAAACAGGCTGGGGGGGTGGGGGAAAAAGGCTTGTAAAATCTGTGCTGCTTGGTGCTCCTTGCCTGCTTTTAATTCTGAGCGAATGCTCAGTCTCCTGAGATCCAGCTCCACAACAATAGGACCTGACTTTATCTTCACGCAACAGTTCCTGCAGCAGAGCGGGATGGGAGCGGCTTTTTGATTTCATGAAGAATTTTCAAGGTTAAAAAAAAAATCACCTCTTTCAAGAACTCGAGTCCTTTCAAGCTTTCCACCTTCTATAGAAGAGCAGAGCAAGTCCCCGGGAATGACTGCAATTGAAGGCAAACCACAAGACAGTCCTTCCCTTCGTGTGACAGACAGCAGCTCCAACAGAACTGGCTGCTTTCCACGAACAGAGGGAATAGTGGCACAAGGTGCTTTGATCAGATAATGAGACAGTTTTCAAACATCTTTTTCAAGCATCTTCAGTACAGTGTTTTGGCAAAGACAGGGGCATCAGAGCTCTGATGCCTTAATACAGGCTTGAAACAGAGAAAAGGGAGGAGATGACTTGCAGGTCAGCAGCGTTCAAGGCACATAGGCTCCTTRGACTTGATAGCCCTACTTTGTCTTCTTTCTTTTGGAGATCCTGGCCAAAACTAGCACATCTCATCCAGAATGGATACAGACCCCTGGGCAGAACAGGGAGGGGCTGGGGTGCTGAGCTGGACAGTGTCCAGAGCTGTGGATGAAGCTGGAAGACACTTCCAATCCTCACACTTGAAGATAATTAAATATGTTTTCCTATTTCTATTTGGTCCACAGTGAAGCCCTGTCCTACATCTCTCACCAAACTAGACAGTCAGAAGCAACTCTGCCTGGAGCTGAGCTGGGACAGAACACCACCAATGCATTTCTCAGTTCTGGACACAGGCAGAATTTCTTTGCACCTAGTCATTCCTTCCAGGATGGATGAGTTCTTCATGCAAACTCTCCTGCCTGGATCCAGACACATTTTTGGCAGCTACCTTTACCTTCCCCCCCTCCCCACACAATGCTATTTTTACCATGAAAGAGAAAGAAACTGGGAGTTTTCCCATTTTTTTTCTCACCTCCTCAAAACAGAAAACCATTATACAACTGCTTGGTGGAAAGTGCACCAGGCAATGCTCCAGACACAGACACTATTCTGACACAAGCATAAAGGCCACTTCATCCTTATTTTTCCCTGATGAGACCAGCAGCTCGGTATGGGAAGGACTCCCTCTATGGACACTATTTGGCACAATGGGGCTTTGACCGCAGCTGGAGCCAGGGCAAGCGACCATAAAACAAATGATAATAAAGCACAGGCAGGGAAAAAATCTTCGCCGCTCCCCTGCCTGCTTAGCCGACCCCGGTGTACTCTCACATCCTTAGGCATTACTTCAAGAGCAGATGGTGCTCTGTGGTAGAGCAAACGAGCAATTATCCTCCTGACACCCTGCAAGGCCTCCCAACATGCGATTGCAAGAAGTTACTTCACCCCAAGCTAAGAGCTGTTGTCTGGCTTTTCAGCATAATTGGATGTAATCAAGTTTAATTTGGTTGGTGCAGTAACTCTGAAGACTTTTGTAAMTGGATTACTGTTGGCTCAACGGTCATGTGCCATTATATCTGCTGGCCAAAACAGAAGCCAGAA